AAAGTTGCTATTAACCAGTTTCAGCTGCAACTATCCTATCTTTGTTCTAAAGAGAACATACGTTGAATTTACAATTAATGTTAAGAAAGTTCACAATTGTTTGTTTGTTTGTAGCCTTTATTTAACCAGGTTAAAAAATCCCATTGAGATCAACGATCTCTTTTTCAAGGGAGACCTGCGGTACATTAGTTACACATAAAAACAACAGAAAACAAAAAGGACATCACAACATAATTACAGGGGTATACATTAGCAACCTGTTCACAGTGACAGGTATCTAATAACATTTCATCCAGCCGTGCTTTAAAATGATGCAAGGGAATCAAAATGCTCAGTTTCAATGTGTGTTGCATGGTGTTCCAAGCTAGAGGAGCAGCGCACATAAAAGCTTTAGTACCTAAAACAGTCCTAGCACTTGGCACATGTAGTAAGAACACATCCTGGGATCTCAGGCAATAGCTACTTGCCACTCTCCGTGAGATCAAAGAGCAGATATAAGAAGGTAGTTTACCCAGCATGGCTTTATAGATGAACATGTTCCAGTGACTGAGCCTCCGTACAGGAAGTGAAGGCAGACCTGCCTTGGCATACAGGGTACAGTGATGAGTAAGTGCTTTACAGTTAGTAACACATCTCAGAGCACTGTGATAGGCGGCATCTAACCTTTCCAGGCAATGGGCAGGTGCATTCATATAGATCAAATCACCATAGTCTAGCACAGGTCAAAAGGTCACAGAGCCTTTTCCTGGCTTCAAAAGAGAAACAGGACTTGTTTCTGAAAAAGAAACCTAATCTAACCCTCAGCTTTTTAAGCAGATTAGTGACCTGAAGTTTAAAAGTAAGACAATCATCAAGCCAGATACCAAGGTATTTGTAACAGCTAACCACTTGGAGTATTTGTCCTTGCATAGTCACAATATCTAAAACAGTCTCTGGTGTCTTTTTAGCTTTTGAAAAGAGCATTACCTTGGTTTTATCAACATTTAAAAGAAGCTTTAGTTCAGAGAGCTGAGTCTGAATAATGTTAAAAACAGCCTGTAATTTAACACCAGCCTCCTTAATGGAGGGACCTGCACAGTACATCACGGTGTCATCCGCATAAAAATGCAAAGTAGCTTCATCCACATTTTCACCTAAACTATTGATGTAGATGGAGAATAAAAGAGGACCTAAAACAGAACCTTGAGGAACACCATTAGTAATGTTTAACCACTCAGAAGACAGCCCATCAAAGTGAACACATTGGGACCTTTCAGAGAGTCACAAACCACCCACTGCATGGCTGGATAAGCCAATACTGAGTAGCCTCTGCTTTAAGATGTGATGATCGACGGTATCAAACGCTTTGGAAAGATCAATAAATAGAGCTGCACAGCTCTGCTTTTTATCTAAGATACTTGTAATGTCATTCACCACTTTCATTGTGGCAGTGATGGTGCTATGTTGCTTTCTGAAGCCTGACTGATGTTTAGACAGGATGTCATTGTTACATAAAAACACCTTTACCTGTTCACTCACTAGGCGTTCAAGAACCTTAGCCAGAACTGATCATTTAGAGA